CAAGGCCCTCCCTTGGGGTCCTCTACAATAATTATAAGCCAGAATTTGATTCTAGGGGGGTCGATTTTCATCTTCCCTTAGTACCTTAACACCCCACATCTACAATTGCTGTATTCATGGGAGTCTCTCTTGTCAAACATGTCTCATCAAACAAAGTTCTCCACTCAGAAATAAACATCTATGTACGTTTCGATCCTGTGTCATAGGAGCCACACAAGACACTTAACACCACTTACTAGTGCCTTATCATATTTTCAATGGCAATGAGACAAGCTACTCTTCTGAACCTGACAAAATTATACAGTTCAGTCTCATGATAAAGGACAATTAATTCTGAAGTCACGTGAATGTAGATGACCTACTCCTGTTACATAAAAAACCAAAACTACATATAAAAAATACTGGCAATGATATTGATGAGGTAATGACATTCAACTTTATCCTGGCTGTATCAAAGATAACTAAATCTTGAAGTATGTAACAAAAATAAACTATATTGAAGCACCTGAACTTGAATGACAGCATGATGATAGTGTACCTCGGGACTGTAGTGGCTCCTATCCGGAATGTATCATTGACGGGCATGGTGAAACACAGAACTGATGAATTGCAGATGAACACAGAATTGCAGTCAATATTTATGAAGTGTTAAGCAACTCTAGCACACAGGTCTTGGATCTACAAAATATGCAAGGAGGAGTGCAAAAACCGTGGCATAATTTTTAGCAACATGGAAAACCTGACAAGACACTGCCAAATTGTTGCATCAACTTGACCAGTCCACTTGGTGGAATTTAGTTCAGCCAGGCAGATACTGTCGAAGTACAGTAAGAAAGAAAGTGTCCACATGAAGAAGTCATCAAAAGGCCGTCAACATCTTGAAACCTGGTCACTATCACTTACACTTCAAGAAAGGCTAGGCAAGCTCTACAGGGTGGCTGCAATGTCTTGTCACCTCTGAAGCAATTTCTACATGTCCTCTTTCCTTTTCTTCTTTTTTTTTTCTCAAGTTAGTTGAACATGATCACGAGTGATACAGCATTTACTGCATTAAACAATGCATTGTTGCTAGTGTCTGAGTTCACATATGTCCACAAATAGGGATGACAGTGGAAGAAGTTAGTGATGATTTCTCATGAACACAGACACTGGCAACAAAACATTGTTCAATAGTGTAATAGCTTGTATCACTTGTGTTTTCTTTTTTCAGTTTAATTGAACATCATGTTCAATTAAACTGAAAAAAGAAGACTTGCAGAAATTGCTGCAGGGGTGATGATACATTGTGGCCACCCTGGACATATTTCATGTGGATATTGCATAACACCACACCAGTCACACTTTGCCAGTGTTTCTACCTTTCTTGGATATTCCATTTGTCACATCCACCCCATTACTTAAACATTAACTATTATTGTCAGGATGAGATTCTATATGCATTCTGATGAAGTGGCATGGAGCCAGAAAACTGGAGCAAAAGAATCAAGATTGAAGAAACCAAAATTCACTCAAGGCACAATCCTGGGTAGAGAGGGCCTTTCCACGAGATGTCATTCTGCACAGGGGACTTCGGACATTGATGCTATCCATTATAGAACTGCAAAGCAGCAGTCTCATTCTGGAGATCAGAGATTAGAGACATAAGGTCACCTTCATTGAGGGACATCTGAGAGCAGTCTTCCTTTGAAGCCTGTGTCTTCAAGGTTTCAGTCTGCCAGGTGAGACCATTGATGGGATATCCTCCTCCCCAAATATGAAATCCATGAGGAACTCCAGGAGCCAGATCTGAAAAAGTATTCCTCAAGGTCATGATTATATTATGCTGCAACATCCTCTCAAAGTACCCTGATCTAGCAAAGGAGAACTAACTTCTGTACCACCAACAATTACGACTGTATGTCTAATAGCATCTCCCTGCTTCACTGCTATCACCAGCCATCATCAAAATATGCAAATATTCAGGAATAAAATGAAAATTTCACTTGAAATGATCTTCATCTAAACAAAAAGCCACTTTTACAAGAAAATGCAAAGGATCTTTGACATCCTTCATCTAGTTAATGACAAAGTTTTCCCTGCACAATAAGTTCTCAGAGTATAATTTGAGATGAACATCAGGGAATTGACACTTGCGAGAGAGAACAAGAAACAATGCAAAAGTTAGAGGCAATTCTGCAATTCCTGCAGTGCAAGGAAGATTACTGTGAACAGAGACAAAAAAATAAAGCAAAAATCCCTTCCTTGTAGCCCTTCACTTAATTCATTCCATGCAGGCTCACAAATTTTTACACTACATGCTCACACCACTCCACTAGTTTGTGCTTTTGCAAAAAAGTTTCACTCTCCTTTCATTCCATATTGGTTGAATCAAGGTCTTGGTTGCTGCTGCTGCTGATAAATCAATATAAGGTGGCAATAATGGAGCACTCTCCTGGTCAGCAAAGATGTGGCAGACCCCAAGATTGCACTACTCCAAATCAGTTGCATTTCTTTTCTATGTTTCAGAACTGACTGATTTCACAATATGGGTGTAAATAAGGCGAATCTTTCAGTTGCGAGTGTCGTATTTCCTGCATCTAAATGATTATTCCATGAAATGTGCAAGATGCCATATGGCATAATGCTATCCAGAGCCATTCCATCCAAATTAGAATATGCCACATTGCAAAAACAGAAAAATCTGAAACATAGAAAAGAAACAAAACAGAACAGGCTATTTAAGTAAGTGAGTCTAACTACAATACTGTGGTAATTCTTATCTCTGCAGGCCAAAATGGGTGCACACATTTTTGGAAGTTTGTACTTATTAGTGTCTCTTTCCTTTTCTTTCATGACTGTTTTGCCAGCTTGGACACAATGTTGCAGACACCCATTGCCATGATCTGAAATCAGGCTAAGGGGTGTTTTAGGAAAAAATCACTCAAACTGAGTCACATCATTGTAAGATGCTTGAATATCCAGCAGAGAAATTACGGAAAATATTAACTTCACTTTTCAATGTTGAACTGAATGTTCAATAGTCACAGTATTTTAAACCTTTGGAATTTTCAGGCTTCTACTCAGCTAACATTGTCATTTGCATTCTTACATTCATGCATTAAAATTAATGGCATGACATGACATGACAGCCGTACATGTTGATGTACGGCTTGAAAAGAGTACGCCTTGGAATGTCGTATGGCACTCATATTCTCCACTGATCTCTTTCCAAAATCAATCTAAAAAAATAAAAAATGGATCATATTCTGGAGTGTAAAATAAGCAAACCTGTGCAGGATACAGAATTTCTTGCAATTTCTGGGATTACTTAGCCGAAATTAAAAACCCTCTTCCTGTGATGTAAAATGCTGAACAGTTAAAATGCAATGAAAATGTTATATTTGTGCAAGAAAGCATGCCTGCACTAATGTCCTGTGGAGATAATGGAGAAATTCTGACTCCTGCTCTCACTGTAAGTTTGGACCATGGATCTGTGCTCTCTTGGGTGATGATTCAAGGATGAAATGGGGGAACTTAGCAAACATGGCCATTAGGCATGATCTTGCACTTTTGCCTGTCATTCAGTAAAGTCATTGCTTAGATGAAGCTTTTAATTAAAGTTAGCAATCAGTTGGGTGCAAGATGCCCGCTTCTGATATGGTAGATAGCGAATTTTGGCCTATGGCAAGTAACTGAAGCCATATTGGTCCCATCCCTAATTCCTTTCATAGGGAAGAAAGAATATCCATGCAATGGCTGGATAGAAGCTCAAGTGATGACAGGAAGTAAAAAAAAAATTAGCACAAGCCATGGAGACAAGAAAGATAGGATTGGGAGAGAGTATTGGGGGAGGGACACCTTTGTCACAGCAAACTTTCAATTCAAGCAAAAAGCACTACAAAAGCTATTTGGCTATTCATATTGACTTGATCTTCCTATAATCCAGAGAAAGACCATTAAGAGGTAGAGAATCAATACCTAAATGCCAGTTCATTGAAATGCAGCCATTGAGTTGCTGTTTTTGCTTTCAATAGGATACTGCAAAAACCCTCTCTGCAGAAAACATGATATTCATTTTCCTTTGCCAATAAATTCATAACACCAGCTTACATAAAACCAACTAGACCTTGAATCCAAAATTGGAGAAAGGTATTTGAGCATGAGAGGGTGCAAGCTGCAGATTCCTCAATTGCACAGAAATCCAGGTCCCAAAGATCATCCAACGACTTCAAGCGACTTGCCGTGGTCTTTCGAACCTTGCACAGGCGAGGTTGAAGTCCACCATACTCTTTTGTCAAGCAAACAGAAGGGTTTTGCAGACAAATAGGAAGTAAAAAACTGCAAATACTCATCTTGCCCTGGTACACCAAGACCGTACCAACATTGGCAAATAACTGAAAACTGGTGCATTCAGAGCATATTGGCTGAAGCAGAACTACCCTCCTGAGGGCAGATTTACACAGAGTAGTGCACTCATGTCAAGTCTACTAGCTTGTGAGATCATCCTCATGGACAGCTGTAGTCTGCATGAGTACCTGGTGGTAGTGTTCTCATAAATGATTGGCACCTGCAAGCTTGTGTCCCTTTGCATGTAACTCAAAAAATTTGCATTACCATGCAAAAACCTGACCTCACAGCAACATCAGAGAGACTTTCAAAAGGAATCAATGGTGTGTTGTTTGATGGCATCAATTGGAGTCTCTGATCCATCATGAAGCCATTTTCATCAATCTGAAAAAAAAACTAGGATGCAATAAAAACTTCCTATACATATATTTATCATTGGTTGGTAACAACATTAATTACATGGAGTGCAATGTGTAATCCAGGACACAATTTCTTTTTTTTTTCTGACTTGTACTAATGCGAGGTACCTGTATGCTTATGGATCGGTCAAGATAGTGCAAACATATGCAGAGTGGTGTCAAGTTCCTCATAGCAGAAGGTACCACCAATCCCAGATATTCACTATCAATTCAAATAATTACAGATGACTCTCAACAGTGTTTGGAGATTAATCTGTCCCCATTAAGCAAGGTTGAATGGTGTGCATGCCTCTGGGAAGGGCCAATACAACCTGGAGGTGGTAGGTCTTGTACTGTCATGACTGATGTACACCTCTTGAATATGGAGAACTGCATCATTGCCAACAAACATGTCACTACATGTGAAATTGTAGTTTTAATGGACATTAACACTGGGACTGAGGAAACCTTGGTTCATGAGCACTTCAAGTTTGTGAAGTTGGCACCAGAAGGGTGCCAAGGCAGTTGAGCTTCAAATAGAAGAATCATGACATGGTAGTGAGCCAAGGTCATTTTGATCAAAACAGGGAAAAAGGTGACGACACCCTGCAGAGAATAGTGATCCATGATAAGATAATTTAAAAAATAGATGTCATGATAAAAAGGCATAATAGCAATAGAAGCCAAAAGCATCTCACAAGTCTATGAAGTTCACAACACAACCAATACCAAGCAAAGTCACGCGTACGTAGCAAACCCTGTTCGAACCACGATGGGCACGATTCAAAAATGGTGAACCTGTCCGTTACGTACGTTCCGTTGTCGAGTTATAATGACTTCCTTGTGTAGGTTCTTTCTTAAATGTTCTCTCATGGTTTGCTCAGCAAAAGGCATACCCCTTCAGTAGCACAATGAGTGTCCCCATACAGGGGAAGGAAACACAACACATTTGAATTGGGGTGGGAGCTGCTAACCTATCCTCAAACGATCCCAATCTCACATCAAGTGACTTTCACATGTTCAGGTCACTTAGAGGATTGCTGGGTGCAAAGACATTCTGTACTGGTTGAGAAGTGCATGAGAATATTCTGCAGTTCTGCATGCCACCCATTATATAGGGTACGTTGACCGAAGGTTTTGGGGACCGTCCGACCCTTTTTACATCCGTCGTAGTACCTCTAACAACTTTTTATCTCTCCAGTATTTACGGAGTGTACACATGTTACCCCTTGTTTTTTGGCATCCTGGATAACATTTTCCACCCCTTGATTAAAATATATGTATGTAACAGTTTTCATGCAAAAGGGCAGAAAATGAGGAAGGCAATACAGACCTTCATTGTGATAGGACCAAAAAAGGCAGTCATCTAGGCACACCGGCAATGGATCCACTGTCCTTTAAGCTCTATCACTCTCCTCCTTCTTACATGGAGACTTTGTATTTCCAACAGCAGTGGAGCATCGACATTTGAGGAAGCCATAGTACCATCTGTGAAGGGATAGCACAGCTGTCATTTAAAAAGTATATGCTTTGACAATGTCTGCATGAAAGAAAAAGTACATGCAGAGCTCTAAATTAAGATGTACAAACATATTGTTCATGGTATGGTGAAGGTTTACATGTCAATGTTGCCTGATTGTTGTGGTTCTCACATTTCAAGAAAAAATTTCTTCGAAAATTCATTGAATTTTTATAATTAGTAACAACACTTTTTAATAGATTTTTCAAGAGCTAAGTTCCCATTTTGAGGAGTTGATCTCAAAGAGTATTTTAATGAAGTAGAATGTACACTTTTGAGTGAAGCTGCAAAAGGATGCTAGGATTTTGGACATGCATAACAACTCATACCTAGGCTGTGAGCTCATGCAAATAAGGTTCAATAACAGATAAACACTGATTACATGAGTTCATACCTTATCTATGTGAAACACATCTGACAATCTTAGCTGCCAAATCTATGACCAGAGAATAGGCCACATACTCCAAAACTTAGTTTCTTTGCACTTTTTGCAATGAAGATATGTAATATGAGAAAAATTGGCACCTATACCAAATCAATAATGTCCACAATTTTGCTTAACACTTTCGCTGCCAAGCCATTATTTGGAGGCAGTTCCCCTGAGGCCAAAGTAATCTTCCTAATTCTGGTGTGCATGACACAAGCGATTCCGTGAAAGGTGGGGATCCACTGGAAATGATGAATGCATGGGCGGCAATCAACAAGCCGTAATGACGAAACTGAGCTTGTCCGCAATGACTGTCGGCAATCAAACGGTACCTATGTCGTACCGTATTTAATTTCTAACCAATCTTGGAGTGCCATTGTTCCCACATTTTTTGTATTCCTTGGACTGTGAACCTTACGACTTCAGGCTGATTCCAAAAATGAGGTGCCTTGGATGAATGGCCGCTGCTTCGACGACATAGGCGCTTGTCGATCAACTTGCAACTTGACCAACGCATAGGACTAATTTGCCAAGAATGGGTTACAGTCTGTTCTAAGCTCTTTACAAACGAAAGGAAATGTGTGTTGCAAGTCAGGTTGAACTGGAGGGTTGAGTGGAACAAATTAAGCAACTTGAACATTTTTTTAAACCGATAAATTCTTCAGCGAATTGACGTGAAAATGTAGGGATACCTTGTTGACGAGGTTCTTCAAGAGCTGTTGAAGTACAGTATGTGCACTTTTGCCCATCTACTCTTGAGTCATGACAGATTTAATCGAATTGGTCAAATTTTCTGAGTGAACAGGCATGTGACTGCCAATGGGGAGACTGCACATAGTTTGCTCAAATGAAAACCGGTTCTTGACCTTTTTGATATGTCCACGTACATACTGTACTATATATAAAGACTCCCGTAATATGCCCAATGCGCAGAAATTAAGAAAAAGTCATTTCCACTTTACCCTTATACGGAGATATACTTATATTGAATGCATTGTAAAAGAGAAATGAGAAGGGAAACACCGTCAATTTGATTTAAAATTGACCTCGTCAGAAGGCGACGATAAAATTCATAAGATGAAAGGAAGAGGTCAATAGAACGTATCATGTAAAGCAATGCAAACCACCCTGTCGCAGGTCGTATGATCTGGTAGAAAGGACCTGTACGACCCGCCGGCGGCTCGTATGACCCAGGAGAAGAGAGAACGTACAACCCGCCAGCGGGTCGTATGGCCTAGGAGGAGAGAGCCCTTACAACCCGCCGGCGGGTTGTATGGCAGCGAAAGTGTTAAAGTGCATTTCAGTCCGAAAGTAATTGAAGATAAAACTGACAGAAGTGGACAAGTACTACTGATGCAAAGATCACTAATGGTACACTTGACAAGAGATTTCAGGAATTCTTAAATAATATAGCTTCACAAACTATAAAGAGAGAGAGAAAAAAAAAGGGTGGTCCAGAAAGACCAAATAGAGAGATCAAGCAGTTTCAAAGGAAAACTTGCCACTTCTCATTTGTCACAGAGAAAGGTTTCTTAAAGAAGTTTGGCTTGATGCTTCAAATATGGAGCAGTTGCTGAGGATTATTTATATGTATCATGGATGAACTCAATACATCATACTGGGAATTTTGAAGCATAAGCAAATTGTAGACATTGGAGAAATATTAGGCTAATAATAGTATGGGTGAAATTGGATTCTTGACCCTGGATGGTGAATGATGCAAGTCAAAACCTGAGAAGCTCTAACAGAATTGAGCTGAAGCAAAAAGGTGAAGACAGATCCTGATTTGTATGCACAGGGTTCCATGGCTCTGTGAGATGGGTCAATCACCTCCAAAAGTACTCTCTGAACAATTGACACAAGTCCAGGTTCACATTAGGGATGCTTAGCCTATGAGACTCAAATAGATTCATTGACTTGTATTTGTGGACACCTAGGATGTCCAGTCTTCATCTGGTGGACATCAACCTTTGCACAATGTTTGGACCAGCTTCGTAGCTCAAATGTACAGCCAGATAGAATGCAGAGGTTAGCTGTGTATATACTGCTACAAACTAGTCATCTACCTGTGTATTTGGAAGTGATTCTACCATTCTTTGGTAACAAAGTAAAAAACAGCATAAATGACAACATGACACCATGTCACCATGGTACTCCATGGAACAGACTGTCCAAAATAAGAGCAAATAGAGTGAAAGTTAAGTAGACCTAATATGAAATGAAAGAGCCTATAATTGCTTCCTTCTCATTTTTCAATGATGTACAGTACTTTCCATTCCTTTCATCAGGGTGCATAGATCGCACTTGTCATGGGGAATCCCCCAAGGAGAACTTCATGTGCTGTTGTCTTTTGACCAATTCAGCTTTCAGCAGGAAGAAAGCCAACTGGTCCAATTCCCAGTGACATCACCTACACCCATTCATTCATTTTAAACAGACTGTGCTGTACCTAAACCAGTAGATAAGATTTTGACTGCATAAATAGGTAGATAGAGTCACTGCCAGTTCTGAGGGTGTGCTTCTTCCACAAAGTCCAAGAATGGTGCCTTGCAATGGAGGGTATCATTGACATCCCTCTGTGAGGTGGCTAGAGAGCACATTAAGTTTGGTCTCATGCTTTCCACAAGGGAGTGGAGGGAGGGTAAAGAGCGCCTAGACATTCAAAAACATCCAAAAAAATAGCTGAAACAATAGCTGAAACTTTTCAAACTATTCCACTTTCAACTTTTTTGCATAACTACCCTTAACCAATGCATACTTTTCCTATTGCTCTGCTGATTTCTTAATTCCAGAAACAGATGGGATTAACTTTTACTACTGGCCTAACACTTTCACAGCCAAGGCAGCAGCAGCAAGCTGGTGGCATGACACAAAGTGTCACGTACGGCAGCAAAAGTGTCAAAGCGGATACGAGGGCAGTCCTTAGGTGCTGCAATAGCAACCAATGTTGCACAGCAGGATTAAATGAGGCACATTGAAGTGCAAGGTGTCCTCATATCCAAAGGTATAGTGTGACAATACAATCTCATGCTCGAAATGTCCATGTCTTCTCCGCAGCAACAATAGACCTTGGCTTGGAATTCTACTTCATTAACTAATACTGATAATTTGTGCAATCTGACATCTTTCTTTCAAAACTATACATTTACTACATGGGGGAAAAAAAGGTGTAAGAACTGCCCTAGTATCAGTTGTATGCATGGGAAAAGTTCCTCCTAAAAAATGAATTCCAGCTGGGATCATGAAACTAGTAAAGCAATCAAAGATGTTAATGTAGGCTAAGGATGGCAATGTTGAAAATTTTGAAGTGGAATAAAACTGGAAAGTTTGTCATGCACACAATATATTTTAAGGTGTGAGAACTTTTGATCCTACCTTGTAGAGGACATGGGACCAGAGTTTACATGCTCTGCTCATCTCATGGGAGTTAGGGTGCCTGCACACTGGATCAGTCTAGACTAGTCTAGTCTAGTAACAATAAGTTCAGTCCAAATGTTTAGAGCTCAATAGCTCAACATGCACTAATTATGACAAGCCTAGACAGGTGTGTGGGCATCCTTGATGGTGATACCTTCATCACCAGATACTGTTTTTGCCCCCTGTGAATGAATTATGTTGTAGTACCTGCAGGGACTCATCCTACCCATTACTGCAATCTAATCTTCATGAATGGAATGAAGTACAATATTGTCTCAGCTCCTCCCCCACCCCCATAAAACTCCTACTAAGGATCCTCTACTCAGTGCTTTCCACTTTACCTCGTTCCATTTAGTAGTGGCATCAGCACTTGATCTCAAGAGATAAGCCCATTATTCCACAGGCAGCAGCAAAGGAAGAGTGCAATGAACATCTTTCATTGTCTGATTGATGCTGTGAGTGACTCATATTCCCTTCAATGCAGTCATTTTTGCTAAAGTCTCTATAGGCACTTCTCTAAACAAATGGTGCTTCTGGAAGAGATGTGGTACCTGATGATGGGATGAACACCTGCCTGCCTCTTCCATGCGGCACGATCGATAGTGTTCCGAACACTCACTCGAGGTATCAAACCACCTGTGGCAATGAAGGTCTTATAACATGGTTCTAATAATTTTCATGAGATGAAGCATTCTCTAACATTTATTCTATGCTGTCCTTCCTCCAGCTGTCATGGAGAAGCCAGTAGGACCATGCAGCTTCTTGTGTGATTTTCATCATACCCATAAATGACTGAATGAAGGAATGAATACTCACCAAAAGCAGCTCTCATCAATATCGATCACCTTGCCTGGGCTGCCAGTGGAATCACACCCTGTATGGAAGGCGAAACAGGAAATTCACCTATAAGCACCACTCCAAATGGCATTTCTTCTATTGATGATAATTTCATTGCCTGAAAGATAGGATTAGATTTAGTGCCTATTTTCATTTAGTCAGTTTCTCAATAATGAAACAGATAAAAGAACAGTTTGAATACTAGCAGAGATTCCCATTCCCATCCAACAACGAAAACCACATACCCCCCCTCTGTTTCCCAACTCTGATTAACTATTCCAGAAAGGTATGCAGAAGTTGAACAACTTGTAGGCACTTTCATACAAGGGGAAGAAGGTCAATAAGAAGTACATCCCATTTACTATTAGGCAAGTCAGAAATAAGATGCTCATTACAGACCAAACAGACACATAAATGGTGGTTGTCGATAGTTTTACACTTGATTTGGAATTTTTTACTTGATGAAGACACTTGTGTAAGGATGGTGGAAGGATGGTCCTCTTGCATATGTGTCTGATGCAAGCAAAAAGCAACATTGATGCACAGAGATGGCCAAGCACCATATCTCACCCATTATGAATTTGAATGCTGAATTATTTCAGTCCTCAAGGGAAAATATTTCTTTCATGTTATTGCAGCTATGGTATGGTCACAGTTTGGTCACAATTTGTCGACAGGATGCATTACATACTGGAATACCATCAAGTTGAAAGCATGGGTCTGATGATTCCAAGAAACTCATGCAATGCAGCAGATGATGAAGGCTTTAGAAAAGCTTTAGAATGCTTATTGTAGGATAAAAGCAAAACCTGATTGAGAAAAGAAATGACTGACTTCAGGTTAGGCTAAATGATCACCATGATACTCTTCACATCTATATTGCCTTGATATAAATTTCTGGATTTACATGTCTTTAAATTACAATATTAGCAGACACTTTTAGGACTAAATTTAAAATGGAAAACCAGGCTCATAGAACAACCTCAGCACAAGCAAATGTGATATCAGGTAAGAATGTGGTAAATGTAATATGCACCCAGTGGCACAGTCTCATATTAGTATGCCAGAGTCCAACATGCAGTCGTGATTCCAAGGAAGGAATTCCAAGATGCTACAAAGAATTCTTTATATTATACGTTCAATCTCATCATCCTCTTCTGGATTTTAATGTTACAAGAACCAGAGACCAAATGAGTAAAGTATATTTTTCCAGTTGGCAATATCCTTAGGAATATTTTTTTGGAGCTCCTTGAATGCAAAAAGAAATGGTAAGAGAAAGGGCCTGAAGGTAAAGTGATCTTTTTCACCCATGAGAGTTCATGCATTCTTAAAGGAACATCATCTAAATGCTACAACATTTTAGGCCTGAAGAGTTCAAAGTGAGAATCTAATTTAAATTTAGAGGAAAAAAGGGCATGAAATGGCATAGGGCATTACCACATGACTCATCCATGTCTGTTTCCACTCATTTTTCTTTTTCTTTAGTGCGAAAAGGTGTTCATCACCATGATGCTTCGAAGTGCCCCTAGTACGAGAGATAGATCAATAAAAGAAACTTGTGAGTGGCGACAATAAAAAATGCATTTCTACTGGGATTCCAGTTGACCCTGCTGCCTAGCAACAGTCTATAGAGCAGCAAAGAAATGCCAAAGTAGAAAAGAAGCTTGAGAGACCGTCTGTTAGTCCAGGCCTAGCCTATCACTCGGCCTGAGGAACATCAGGCTTGCCCCAAATATAACGTTAGACGTACTTATTGCATTGGAATCGACTTCGTGCGAAACGTGCGGGCCTGTTCTAAGAACTAATCAAGGCGCCGAGGGATAATGTAAACTTCGATAGAAGGCGTATTAGAAGCGTTTTTGTGCATGAATCGGTTCGTATGATGGAATCATTCATTTACATCGGACCCGTACCTCGCGAACACGCCTGGCCACTCACATGGCGCGCTGTTGGGCTTCAGGGCCATCACGTTCTGACGTCACTGTGACGCATGGGGCATGGTCTGCATGGGGTATGGAGGCGACTCACGATCCCATTCCATCTCTCCCAAACGAAAGGCTCCTTACCTTCACGCTCTTTTCTATTTTCCTTTTCCTGGAAACTCGAAGCTTTCATTGGACGCCTTAAGCTTACTTCAACAAATCTTTGAATTCCAGCAAGAATTCTTTTGGGAGGCACGTGCAATCTGTTCTCCTTGGGATTTCACTTCTGAGCGAAATGTACTAAACCCACGTGTGGATTAACATCTTCGGACGTCAAGGACGTCTTCTCTCCTCATCCCTCGCGGCATGCAAAGACGAAAAGTCATCATGTCCAGCGCGATTCAAGTCTTCTTTAACCCCCCCTCCCCCCTTCAACACAAAGATAACACAATTGTGCTTAAGACGTATATAATGTGCTTAAAAAGTAATCATTCCATTATATGATCACTCTTGATATATCTGAAATGTATCTTCCAAGATAAATTCAAGTGAATTCCTGTCATCAATTAAAAACTGTTCATAATAAACAGTGGGAGAGGGGGACGGGTTCAAAAAAGAAAATATTGCAATTTCATGCCGGTTTAAGTCTTTATTGCGTGGTATGCATATTGTATAAGTGTTTTTCCCGCCGAACAAACCCATTCGCCTTCGCAGCATAAGAGCATTTGCAGCATTCGATGCTTTCATGGACAGGCAAAAAGGTGAGAGGCATTGTTGACGTTAGGTACTAGACAGTAAGAAACTAGAATAGTCAAAAAAAAATACAAAAACAGAACAAAATAAAAATACAAAAATATTTAGCTTGAAGAGGGTTAGGCCGACCCTAAAATTAAGGAACGCTCTACCTCGACACGTGATAACGAAATGGGCGAAATCGCCTCTTGATATCACTAACTCTCTTGACTCTTGATTAAGAGAACCTGGCCGAGGTATGGATTAAAAAGGAAGGCAACCAGTGAACATTGATGAAAAATGTGAACTATGAGCGTCATAATGCATTCTTAAATTGTATTTATCACATGGGATATAACAAATAACCAACGAAATGAGTGTAAGCACGTAATTCCCCAGTCACCAAGTAGACATCGACTCTGTCGCCCTTCAGAAGATGGAGCATAAAAGACTGGCCAGGCATCTGACCATGATCCCAGAATTGTCCATTAAAATAATCATCAGAATTTATGAATGCTTTCTCGTTTCCATTTTTTCGGAAACTAAGCCTGAGGTGGGTAAACCACATATACGTATGAAAATGAAAAACATAGATGCCATCGATCGGTGCCGTAAAAACTCCGGTGCTCGCATTCATCGCCCCCCCTATGTTCACTTCAGTCCCGCTGAAGTGAATTACGCTGTCTACACTTCCCGATGCTCCAATCGTATCGAAATAAACGACTTCTTCTGCAATACGCGCACTGGTCATGATCTGAAACTCCGAGTCAGTCTCTTCCAAATCCATTCTGCACAGAACGACGTCAAACCGCCCTTCCTTGTTGGTGATCAGGTGATAACCCGTCCCAGTGTTTCCAGCTTGACGGAGAGTCGAGCAAGATTCTGCTGGGTTTCCCGGGGGCGGAGCTTTCCCTTTACAAGTCAATCCGCCCAGTGTGTAATTCGCCATCTGACCGTCGAATTGTAGTCCGCCGAAGCGCAATTCGGTTATAGGCAGTGCTGTTCCGTTCGTGATCGCTCCCGAGTCGGATTCCCATTGTGGGGCTTCTGCATCGCAATTGCAAGGCATGGCGGAGTCGACGCAGTCGTCGGAGAGGCCGCAATTGCACACGTGTTCTCCTGCGTTCGCTCCGTCCCAGTAATACTGAGCATCGTCGTGGCGGTCCAACCACCATGCGTAGTGTGTGTCACCTGAACTCAGGGCCGTGGCGAAGCAGTCGTACTGTAAGGGAGAATAGTCTAGGCTGAGTCTCAACTGCCAAGAATATATAAATAAAAATATATATTTTAAGAAAAAGGAGTCTATTATCATATTTTAACAAAAAACCCGCTCGAATGGGTATTTGTGGCCCTCGATCGAGCTAAAAGGACGAAGCGAAAATAGTGGGGCTCACTCGTATTTGCTGTTGGCACGACTCCGATTGATCGATGAGCGCCACCATCTGCTTCATTGTTGCCTCGTAGCCAACGACACGTCTGTAGCAGCCAGGATCTGCACAATGATCTATCTCCGTATTTCCCATCGAGTCGTGCAGAACAACGGTGGACACCGGATCTTCGGAGAAACGGAGCATTGGTCGCGTGAATGTCTACATAGGCTCAACAGTGGGAGAAAGGTACTTTCAAATATTATACAATCATGAAAGGTTGCTTCATTTACGTGTTGAATTTCTTGCAGGATCGCAGGAAAGTTAGAACGTGAAGGCAAATATTAAACGAAGACAGAAGCCACTGATTCTCAAGGTTATTGACATCATTGTTTCTTTTTTTTCCTACACGGACCCGTTTCCATGTCGCAGAGCACTTGAATGGGCGGATCGCCGATGAAAACGCCATCTGGGTCCACCAGGTAGGTTCCCGTGTGGGTCACCCCCAGGTCAGCCAGGGTCTGACACGATGGAGGAGCTGCGGCAGGCCAGGTGAGGTCGTTGCATGTCACAGACTCGAAAGAGCGCTTCGATTAATGACATTTTTTTTTAAATCAGCTGCAAGACTTGCTTATTTGCCGGGAGACAGCCTCCAAGTAGAGCAGTCTTTCTTCGACGGTGTTCTCTCGCCGCTGCATGTCCGCTGCCTGTTCTGTCTGCTGAAATTTCAGTTTTTCCGTTTCGTGCTTCAGTTTGAGCTTGAGTTCTTCGTTTTCGTGCCTCAGTTTTTCCATGCCATCAGCCAATTCTTGGGTTTTTGCCGAGATCATCTCCTCCAAGGTCGACATCAGCGCCTCCAAGTTCGTCGCAATCCCCAGGTCAGAGATGGAATTGCTTGAGAGTCTCTAAAAGTTTTTTATGATCAGGACCAATCGCGACGAGAAGTGAGATGTATCATTCAGGCCGCTACGGCAATTAAATATGATATAAAATAAAAATCTAATAGTTTGATAAACATCGGGAAAATTGCAAATGGATGGTCTCTGCGGTTCATTGTAATTCTACGACCATTTTGGATGTTTAATTCATTGAAGAAAGCCCGAACATCAGGAACCTGCCGTTCAAGAGGGAAAAATGGCAGTCACGTGATCTCGTCAATGCTTATCGACTTTTTCCCCTTGAATTCACGAAGGTTCATATCTGAGGATATGGTCTGAGAACTAATCAAGGCGCCGAGGGAGAATGTAAACTTCGATGGATGGGTCCTATGGGTATTTCGGGTAGGAAATCCTCTCTTACAGTTGAACGTGCGAAATTGCGAATTCGCTGTCGGAATCGTGGGAAGAATCAGATCCAGAAAAGGGGGGGGGGGGTGGGTCACTTGCCCCAAGACTATCGGCAAATCATTCCGCATGCGGCATTTTCTGACTTCCCTTTTTCTCTGCAAAAACAACGACTACAGAGGGAAGAATCGCGTTTCACTTACTTGGTTGAAACCGCACTCTGTCGTTGCGATTAAAGCGAGCAACACGAGACTTGCGATGCTCCTCATTTTGCTGCACTGCTTTCTCAATTACCTAGCCTCGGCCTGCAAAAAGAAAATGAGAAAGAGAAAACTGAGAGTTCCTTTTGAGAAATTGTTAAGGAGATAAAGCGAGTGATATTGGCTAATTCATGGTAGGCGAAATATGTGTTAAATGTGTCCCATAAGCGAAGTGGAAAAGCTGTGGGGCACCGGGAAGCACTCGTGGCAGAATGCGACAATGAGCCCAGAGGGTGTCTATATACCTCTCCTAGGGACCCGTGTGAACGATCGCGTCTGGCTCCGTTTTCCTCATGCGCATTTTGGGCGATAAAATATTCGAGGGACGAGGAGGAAAGAGAGAGAAAATCTGCCACGTTTCTCCTGGATGTTTCTCGCCTCATCATCCTGTTTACTTATCAGCTGATAGATTTCTCAGAGGACCTGTCTCTCTTTTGCCTTTCAGGAGGAAACAAAATAAGCGTCAACGGAGGATTGGAGATGACCTCTGACATGAATGCTTTCAAGGAGATGAAGGCAAGACATGAAATAAATTTTCCTTAGGCTCGGCTCACTTGGGGAAGGAGAAAAATGCGTGCAAATATGGAGAGACCAGGGGGGGGGGGGGAACATCCACATTTGGTTGGTGGCCAACAAGTTAACCACCAATGACCCTCCTTTTAAAGTGCAGTTTTCCTGTCGCACTTTTTAGGGTAATTTCCTTGGTGTTTGTGATCCATGACATTTGCACTGGCCTGGCGAGGAAAGTATGACGTTAAAATCTCTCCAATAATTTTTGCTATTGAGCATAACTTAGATTTTACTAGTGATGGCTATTTTTTAAAAGTAATATTGGTACTTTTGCGGTCCGAGATATTTTCATTAACCAACCCTTTGTGTCGAGACGAGTTGTATAAAAATTTGGACTTAGCGATACGATTTTTTTGTTTCGATATCGCCGACAATTGCCGAAAGTTATCGCGATATACACACATATTGTCGATAATACATCAATCGAAAGATATCGCGATTTTGCGATAATCGGCACAGTCCTAATTATATTCTAAATAATGGATACAGTTCTATTTATCTGCACGTGTTACGTCTGCTTATGAATGCCTCCTGGTGGTAAGGAGATTTAAATGGCAGGAATCAATGTTTACCAGAGGGTGTTCCAACCACTTAAACACTTCAGAAGCAAACATGAAGACTTTATCGTACAGATTTATGCTGCAAGCAGCTAATACCGATTCTCATAGACCTTGTAAATAAAAATTAATCAGCACAGAAACATCAAAGCATGCACTTCATTTTCTTTATTTCCTTACTGCGACCACAATTCAATTCTATTGATCTGGACTCCTACCATGGCAGGTGGAAAAAGTTGCTCTTGTGCCAGGTGGATAGGGCTCCTGCGGATCAGACGGGAAACGTTTCTTTTTCTCTGCTGGTTTAATTTTAAACAGGAGCAAGATGCAAAAATGCGCGTGCAAATTTTCGCGCCACGGTGGTGCCATCGTGTCGCCACCGGAATTTTCCTTTCATTGCTGATTTTTTGCAGAATCCAGCGCACCATCGTACCAGCAGACTGAAATCGGTTTCGTGTTGCGATTTGTCTGGTGCTGGTTCAGGTCAGCGTCGACGCGCGTCGGAAAGCGATCGAAAGCGAAGCGCATGGACAGAAAGCGTTCGAGTTTGCAGGCGTTCGCCGCGGTGATGGCGATTCTCCAGCCGAAGTTGATGCCAACTTTTCCTGGTTGATTGGGGATACAAAATCCGGCATCGGACGTTGCGGTCGAAAACGTTGCGAGACACCCGGGTAACATGAACCAGGTGTGCTCTCTCATGAGAAATTCTCGGAATTCGGAGGAAATCGTCGGAAACGTGGCAGGTGCGTTCTTTCGTCGGAATTCCGGATTCAATTCTTTCCGTCAACGCCTCATCCGGCCCACTTTAGTATTGCACTTAATAGCAGCTTTCTGAGATTTTCACGATATTTATGGTTTCCAGCCGATGTCGAGGCAGTGAAAGAAACCATTTCTAAGCGCCCATTTTCCCTCATCACCTTATCTTTGAGTCGCATTCATCTAGAGAGAAAAAAAGCTTCGTGTTATTCTACCATTCACCATGTTCACCATTTGCATCATGCTCCAACAACCCAAATGCATTTTCTGGGATTGATTCATCCGATCCATTTCATTTTTGCATTTTACGCTCTCCATTCCTTCGGAAAAGTAAGAGGGAAATTCTGATTTTTTGTTCTTAGCACGACAAAAAACAGAGGCTCGAAAAGAACATCTTCAAAGCCCCTAAAATAGTTAATTCTCAGTATAAATTGAACCGAGGCGAGCAGCAACTGCGCCAACTCGTCAAGAAAAGAGGACGCATCCCTACATTTCCAAGTGCTAGGAAATGCTTCCCAGAGAATATATAGCTCGTGACTGCATCAAGTGCACAGGGTTTCGCGAACTGTCCTGGAAAAGTTTAAATTTCCGTCATCCAATCGGATAAGATTTTAATCCCATCCGTTTCATCGTTTGGTTTGATTTTCATTAAGTTCATGTGCATGGAAATATCTAGATCGGTTAGACTTTTCGCGAATGAATGAGAGCATTAAAAATTCCCAGGTATTTTTAGGTGCTCACTGATTGAACATTGCCGAGTCGGTTGGTGTAGACGAAGGCTGTTGAATTTTGGTCATTTTCAACTCTCAGCAAAAGGAAGCCAACTGGTCCAATTCCCAGTAATATTTCCAACGCCCATTCATTCCTTTTAAAAAGACTGTGTTGTACCTAAAAGGTTACATGATACTTTGATGACGTATTTATTGCATTGGGTTCGATTTCGTGCGAAACGCGAGGGCCTGTTCTAAGAACTAATCAAGGCGCCGAGGAAGAATGCATACTTCGTTGGAAAGCGTATTAGAAGAGCTTTCGTGCATGAATCGGTTCTCATGATGAATCGTTCATTATATCGGACCCGTACCTCTTGAGAACGCATGGCCACCAACGTGGCGCGCTGCTGGGCTTCGAGGTCGTCGCATTCTGATGTAGCTCGTAACTATGACGCATGGGGCATGGTCTGCTCTAGCGGAGGCGGCTGACGATCCCATTCCATCGCTCCTTAATGAAAGGGTCCTTACCTTCACGATCTTTTCCATGTTCTTTTTTCTGGAAACCTGAAGTTCCCTTGGACACCATTCATTGACTTCAACGAATCTTTCATTTCCAGCAGGAGTTTTTCTTTTGCAGGCATGTGCCATCTGTACTGGTTTCTTCTTCGTCAAATTTCAATTCTGAACAAAATGTACTAAACCCAGATGTGGTCTAACTTCTTTTGGACGATCTGTCAGGGACGTTTTCTCTCCTTATCCCTCGTGGCATGCAAATATGAAAAGTCATCATGACCAGCGCGATTCAAGTCATCTTCCATCCTCCCCTCCCCCCGCCCTCGAACACAAATATAGCTCAATCCAAAGGTGTGCTTCAGATTTGTCAGGGGCATAATCATCCCATTCTATGATCACTCTTGTTTCTGGGTTAAAACCAAGAGAATTCCTGTCATCAATTGCACATCAATCGAGTCCTGACTCGAGTACGAAAATTTGAGGGAACATAAACGCCATCTTATGCCTACTTCGAGTACTGCACCGAGAACCCGGACATCTGCATCAGCAACGTACACGTGTACGTCTGGACCACACGTGCAGACACGAGGGACACAATATCTACCTCTCCTTGTACGTTTCTACTTTGCTGTGCAGCTCGGCGAAGAGACGAACAGGATTGCGCTGGATTGTTCGGAGGCGTAACCTTGCCATGGGTAAATCCACCCCATGCAATAGTTGCACTGGTTTCCACCTGAAACTTCGGGTCGGACTCCTCCAAATCCATCCAACACATAGCAACATCCAAGCGACCTTTCTTAGGATTGATCAAGTAATAGCCGGAGTGAGTGTTTCCAGCTTGTCGGAGAGATGAACAGGATTCTGTTGGATTTTCCCGGGGCGGAGTCTTGCCCCTGCAAGTCAATCCGCCCAAAGAGTAATTCGCTTTCTGACCCTCAAATATTAGTCCTCCGAATCGCAACTCAGTTATGGGCAATGCTGTTTCATTAGTTACCGCCCCTGAGTCTGATTCCCATCATGGGGCTTTTGCATCACAATTGCAAGGCAGGTTGGAGAGGATGCAGTTGCCAGAGGGACGGCACTTGCATATGTGTTGTCCTGCGTTTGACCAGTCCTAATAGTACTGAGGTTCGCCGTGACGGTCCACCTACCAGGCATAGTGTATGTCTCCAGTAGTGAGAGCCGTCGTGAAACAGTTGTACTGGAAAGAGACAAAATCAATTCTTTGTCTGAAACGTCAGAATCTATGCAAGGGTTTCCAGGATTCATTGACCGGTATAACAGGCATGTTTTCATGAAAATTGAATTTCCCCCAACCAAAAAAAAAGACAAATTCAGAACATTTTTTACTGGATATTATATTTACTGAAATTCTAGTCATTTTGTGACAACTTCAGGAAATATATTCAGCGAAATATTAAGACTAGAAATCTTCCTGGAGTCCTTTCACTCCTCGAAGGACTTTCAGGAATAATGACAATTCCAATTCCAAATCCAAGACTCTACTTTCCGGTCATGTCCGACCTATGCTTGTCCGGGGAATTTTTGGCTGCCCTCCTCGTCTGAATTGAAATGAATGCAAATAGATGTCCTCGCCAATGTTGTATTTCTGTCGATTCGAGCAAGGAGTATCGACTCGGAAATTTTCAGGAACGAAGCAAATTGTAACCATGACACCAAGAGTGAAGGGCAGTGCACGTTACAGGGCTACAACGCAGCCTGGCGGCCATTAAATAAATAAATAAATGTTCAAAATACCTATTTTTTATCTATATTGTTTCCAATTAACTTGTTTAGGCTTGCATATTTTAAAAGGATGAGCAAATACATATATCTCGAAAAATTTGCCGAAGGTAACCTTAGGTTTACCATTAATGCACATTGCAAAATGAAATCCCGAGGCTACGGGCTCGACTCACTCTTATTTGCTGGGAAATTAGTTGGAACAGAAGGAAATTGCAACTGTGACCACAAGAGTGAAGTGCGCGTAGCAGGGCAACGCCTTAACGGCCACGCGACATGTCGGCTGGTTGTTGCTTTTATATTCCCTGAAGTGGAAAGTGATATTTTTGGCAATTAACTTGTTCAGGTTTAGATGTTTTGAAAAGATAAAACGCATATATCATGCTGACAATTTATTGATGGTAACCTATCGCTTACAAAAAAGCACATAACAATACAAAGTCCTGATACCACTGGAATGACTCACTCTTATTTGCTGTTCGCACGATTTTGATTGCTCCATCAATGCCACCATCTGTTTCACAGTTGCACCATACCTTATGCTGCGACTGTAGCATCCAGGATCAGCACATTGACCTATCTCAGTGTTTCCCATTGAATCGTGAAGGACAATCGTGAATACTGGATCTGGACATAGCACAGTTGAGAGAGCATGAGCCGGAACGAACAAAACAGTTTGTCATTTTGCAAGTGACGGAAAGGTTGTTTACTTCACCGACCTGTCTCCATGTCACAGAGCACTTTGATGGGTGCATCGCCGATCAACACTACGTCAGGATCCACGAGGTATTCTCCTGTCCGTGTCACTCCCAAGTCTGCCAACGTCTGACACGTTCGGGGAGCTAAGATAAAAGAAGTAATATGTTGCCATCATCTGCTGGAAAATCAGATTTACTTCTGAGCAACGGCTTATCGAATGAAGACCCCGCTTCGGAGCATTTGGTAAAGAAATTGCAGTTCGTAAGACTACAGCTTGTCATATCACTGCTGGGAATATGCGATCGGATGAAGTGCTACTCTCATCGTTGTCTGAGTTGTTCACTATGCGCGGATATATTAGTTGTTCTAAGGCGATGCTAGCGATCAAATGAGCGTCCTGTTAGGAGCAGCACATGTTAACGAAGTTTTTACCAGCAGAAGACCAAATATAAGAGTTAGCGCTAAATGCATTCTCTATTCGGGGACGTGTTACATGATGACGCGAGTTTGACTCGTGGGCATATACCCGAGTGCATATGACGTTAAAAGGCCAAGGTGGTGAAGGACAATCTTGATGGAGAACGATGCATGGCGTGGCTTGAAGCGCTTTAATGTGTATTTCAGGTTTTTGTGCCCCTATAGAACACGCTTTAGTTGAAGCTTCGTTACCCTCACTATAGGAGGCACTGTATTCCAAGTCATCAATGTGTTGTGGAGCCGTCTGCAGTCTTGGATTTTCTTTACTGTACGTTGCTCATCGCTAACTGCTCCCAATATCGTAAGAGCCATCTTTGAAGAACAACTGCTCATAATGTGCTAGCAAAATGGTTGACGGTCACAGTTCAGTGAAGCAGACATTCCAAGCAGTTATTGGGCATGCTACGGATACAGGAACTACCATTTTTATGCCATCAGCTCACCAAAATGTATTGTATTTTCATGTTCGTCAACTACTATAATCAAAGGGCTCCATGTAGTCCCCACTCACCTATTTGTAGGCTAATAGCCTCCAGACATTGGAGTCTTTTTTCTGTGGTGTTCAGTTGAAGTTCAAGCTTGTATCTTTCCTGGAGATGTTCCTGGAAGCTAGACTTGAGTTGTTCGTGCTCTTTTTTCATGTTCTCGTAGTCGGTACTCAGCTTTCTAGTAGCCTTGTCCAGTAGCCTTGAAGGCGGATATAGGCGCGGACCAATATCCGCTTTCCATTGTCTGTCGCCTGTGATTCGAGGAGTTGGAGGGGGAGGTGTGACTTTCGCTACGGTGACAAAGCCTACCATACCTCAGCTATCGAAAATAACATCAATACATCGATGGATGAACTGCGACAGCCCTAATTTTTTTCCTATATCCGTTGAGAATCGGTTACCCCGTTCATTTGGCATTTTTTAAATTTTCCTCGTTCGCACGTTCTTCTTTGAACAACGGCACCGGCCGGTTCCAAACCTGCCGATGGCCGATGTGGCCGATAGTTCAACACCGGCGGCCGATACCGGTGTTAGCCCATGCATCGGTACAGGCCTAGTTAGAACCCATGAATCACGTGGAAGAGGATGGAAATGCCCTATCTGAATCCCAAGATGTCATCCTTGTCCCTCCCCAGCCTCCTTTGGTGTTCCTTTTGAGGCCTTCTGGTACTAAAGGGAACCCAACTTCGTGGAGAGAAAAATTCCCTGCGCAGAAAATGCGAGAGCAACGGGTGAGGCCTTCTGAGGGAGCGTATCAAAATACCGAACAGCTATTCATCGAAATTCATTTCGCCGAAAATTCGAAATGTCGATTAATCAAATGGACGAAACTCTAAACATCGAATAAATTGGCCGAAAGCACATTTCGCCGAAGCAAAATCTTTTCGATGAAAGCTGATTTTCGTCGAAAGATTGAAATGCCAGAATATAGCAATTTTTTAATCATGGTTTTCATTACAAAGTCAAAATCAAATGGTCGAATATGAAAGACGCGGATATTTGTACTCATCTCAAAGAGAAACATTATAGGAAAGACCTCTCAAGAAAGACATATTGCAGCGATCCCCATAGGTACGCGTGATTGCCAGAATTCTGTTGTTCTTGTCAATCTCTGCTTTCTTTTTCCCTGGAATGTTGCCCGCTCCCAACTTCAAAATGACATGCTCTGTCACTGACAGTTCTACTTTGAGCTCTAACAAGAATGCATAAAAATGCAAGTGCTTTCCAAATAATGACGATGCCCGTCGGTGCCATGCCTCAAGATTGTTTGTTGTTCGGGGCTCACCGGAGAGGGTTCGATCTCGAACATTCCACAGCTGCGGTGGATAGACAACCTCATTTCTGGCTCTGCCCCGTCGTCTTCTTCCATCGACGTAAGTTTCCCGGAAATACTGCACAACAGGTTTGGCTTCAGATGGCATGGTTGCTTCCAATTCAGCAAATACTTTCTGGACGTCTTCCACTGGAACGAAGGCGAGACATGTCATCATACGAATCTTTATGGCAAAGTCATCATCTTCTCTGTAGAGCTGAGTTAGGCCCAGTTCTTGAATTTTCCGACACATGCTCTGGCAGAAATGATAGAAACAGACCTTTTGCCTAATGTGAGGGAAGTCATAAGCCATGGCTGCAACTAACCGTTTTTCTTCCTTTCACGGACAGATTCGGCTCCCCTCGCTGGCAAACCTACCTCTGACCATGCTCTCCGTCTATGTGTATCCTCTCCAAGTCGGTGCAAACGCCCTCGATAGCCTCCTCATTTTCTCCTCTGCTATTGTCTTTCATTCTCCTCGGATATCTCCTTTCAGAGAGGGGCACATCGGCGAATGGTCCTCTCGATCGTTGGGTCTATTTCAAGGGAGGAAGTCCATACTCCGGTACATCCTCAGGCCTCTCTCCGCAAACTTCTTCGGCGACGACTACTCTCTCTTCCCGCCGCGACCCAAAAGTGGTGCGTACCTCAACTGGCATCGGCTATAACCTCGGCCTGCCAGGAGGTCTGCCCTCATCACCACCTTCAAAATCAGCCTGATTTTACCGTGCATTATGGAGATTTTCGTTCCTCGACAGTAACTTAAGAGTTTGGAGGGACCATTTAGTTTTTTTGTTCATTTAGTATTTGCATTTTTTAGTTCACCGTGTGCTGGTGAAACTATCCTCTTTTTTCTGCTTTGGAACGGTGCATCATAGGTGCTTCATCCCACACAATGAGGCTGGCGATTCGAAGGAGTTTGCCAGTGACATCTCGTGGGGATATTTGGCATGTTGATTCCTCTCTTGCTTTCTTTTGGAAGCTTGAAGCGCGAATGTGCAGTTCTCCCGAGAGTCAAAAGTGATGCTGCAATCCCCGATGATGCTGTGGCGAGGGCGAATTTTCCTTGTTTCGGACATGGGATAGAAAACTCTGGATGGTATAACATCCTGAAATGGAAACTGGACCACGTTCTGTACAATATTCTACCAGAATTCTACAGTTCCAGAACATTCTACAGTTTGCCATAACTTTTTATCCTGAACAATCTAGCATTCACATAATTTCCTATAATTTTCCGAAGCGTTCTAGAATGTTCTCAGGTGTTCTTGTGGGACAGACGAATGTATGGCTATAAGCACGGACGTACGTACGTACAGCTCCCATATTATATCGTAAAGTATAGAAATGGGCGGTCTTCTGGAAAGCATGCAGCATTCATCGATGAAAGGATTCGTTCTGGATATTTTTTTGTCTGTGACGTCAGTGTACCCACTCCGGGGTGTTTACAATGCTTTCAGGTAATCGATTTCCACTCCTTCCGTCCTCCAACTACCCCAACCTCCCGCCTCCCTGCACCTTCTCCGTCCTCCACCCGCCCCCCCGCACATCCTCAGCCCCCCATCCCTCCCCCTTCCCCCTTCTCCTTCACCTCCAGAACAGCCGCGAAAGTTCCACTGTCCCAGATCGCACCCGCGTGCACGGGATCCACTTCGGGTGTAAGAAACTGTCAACAAAGAAGTCTGGGTTGGGATGACTTCCGTAGTGGACTTCCCATAGAATGTTGCAATAGATATATAACATGAAAATACTGAATGAATATGCTACTGTGATACATGTTTCAGTCGAGAGTGTTGAGGTATAAGTATCTCATATTAATGTGTTTATGAAATGGTTATGTTTTGCTTGGACATTCAAGAGCAGGGATATTCGGCGTCCGCCAGAGCCGTTGTCTCTGCCAGCTATGCTATGTCCTTCCCAGGCATGGTCATCGTACTCGAGTCAGGTTTTCTTGCGCCCTTCTGGTCTAGTCTTCGTTGTCCTGGTGAGGCCCTTCATCGCGCTGACACGGTTAGTTGACCTCAATATTTTTTCCTCCCGTTCGGTCAACGGCCAAGTAGTGAGAAAGTCAACCTGTTTTGGGAAATGAAGGGTCATTTTGAGTTAAGAAAGGGCGGCGGTCTTTGGCCACAATTATTTTCTAATCCAACTGTTCCATCATCCCCCGAATTAGGCAGACTTTTTCGCTCGTTCGGCCAAGCATAGATTGAATGCAGCTCGCTTGATGTGGCTTCTTTATGTTTTCTCTGAAGTTGTTTAGTTAGGGTATATAGCAAAAGCACAAAATCACTGCGAGAAAAAGGTTGAGGGTTAAGTTTTTCTTTGGGGCATATGTTATGAGGACCGAGTGTAGGGAGGCTGCCGGGACTTGAACCCGGGCCTCGTTGTTTCTCGGTCCTGTGCGCTACCATTACACCACTGAACCCAGGACAAACAAGTATTTCCACTCTAACCCCACATAAGGGTTTCTGTTCCAACGAAAACGGGCCGTCTCGCCCTCGGTTCAACGTGATAACATATTAAAATGACTGCTTCTTTTCTCATCTTTAGCAGGTAAAATACGCACTAACAAATCTACTCATCAAAAGCTTGCGATTGATATATCACAAACACTATTCTACTGATCGGAAGTCTTTCCCTCATGGATCTCTCAACTTCACACGATTTCTCCATCATGGTTAGGTGACTCGGTAAACTGCGTATTACACTGTATATGTGAATGAAGGAGCGGAAAATGCATATGCGATAACACTGCATTTTCATGAACCCAATACTTTCTCGCAGGTTTTAGATCTGTGAGTTCGTGGTGGGTTCCGCCGAAAAATACACACATACACAAATTATTGAAAAACAAAGAGCATTTATCCATTTTTTTGTTTCACATAGGGTATAATAGATAACCCACAAACCGTGAGGTCAAATAGTAATAAATACCTGCATGTTGCAAGAATACATCGACTTGGTCGCTCTTATTGAGGTTCAGTAGGATGGATTGACCTGGGGTCTGAATCCCAATGGGTTCAGGATGTATTAAAGAACGCGCTTCTCCTCCAAGCTCCTCGTTCCAGCGTCCATTTATTCTCAGTAAGAACCATGTGTCACCTGAATGAACCACAGCGTGAAAATGAAAAGCATATATCCCATCTACGGGTGCTGTAAATATTCCATTGATGGGATTCAGCGCCTCGCCTACGTTAACTGCGGTTTCCTTGAAGTGAAGTACGCTGCCCGCGCTTCCCAATGAATGAAAGGCATTGAAATAAACTCCTCCTGCAAGACGGACACCGGTCTCCACCTGAAACTCCGAGTCGGTCTCCTCCAGATCCATCCTACACATAACAACATCCAAGCGACCTTTCTTGGGGCTGATCAGGTAATACCCAGGATATGCGTTTCCAGCTCGGCGAAGAGATGAACAAGAATGGGCTGGATTGTCTGGAGGAGTTACCTTGCCATGGGTAAAACCACCCCATGCAATACGTGCACTAGTCTCCACCTGAAACTCCGGGTCGGTCTCCTCCAGATCCATCCTACACATAACAACATCCAAACGACCTTTCTTGGAGTTGATCAGGTAATAACCAGGATGATCGTTTCCAGCTCGGCGAAGAGATGAACAAGATTCGGCTGGATTGTTCGGGGGAGGAACCTTGGCCCTACAGACCAACCCGCCAAGTGTGTAATTAGCCTTCTGCCCTTTAAACCTTAACCCGCCAAGTCGCAGCTCAATTATAGGCAGCGCTGTTCTATTGGTGATAATTCCAGCGTCTGATTCCCATTGGGGTGCCTTAGCGTCGCAATTGCACATCATAATCGGGTCAATGCAGTCGGAAGTGAGGCCACAATTGCACACGTGCTCCCCAGCGTGTGAACCATCCCAATAATACTGAGGTTGGCCATGACGGTCCACCCACCATGAATAATGCGTGTCGGCAGTAGTGAGGGCCGTCGTAAAGCAGTCGTACTGAAAAGAGACAAAATCAATTCTTAGTCTGAAACGTCGGAATCTAAACAAGATTTTCCAGGAATCATTGACCAGTATAACAGGCATGTTTTCGTGAAATTGAACTTCCCCAACCAAAAAAACCCAGACAAACTCTGATATTATATTTACTGAAATTCTAGGAGAAGTCATTTTATAACAACTTCAGGAAATATATTCGGCGAAATATTAAGACTAGAAATCTTCCTGGAGTCCTTTCACTCCTCGAAGGACTTTCAGGAATAATGACAATTCGAATTCCAAATCCAAGACTCTACTTTCCGGTCATGTCCGACCTACACTCGTCTGGAGAATTTATGGCTGCCCTCCTCGTCTGAATTGAAATGAATGCAAACAGATGTCCTCGCCAATGTTGTATTTCTGTTGATTCGACCAATGAGTATCAACTCGGAAATTTTCAGAAACAAAGCAAATTGTAACTATGACTCCAAGAGTGAAGGGCAATGCAAGTAACGGGGCAATGCGTTATCTACAACGCGACCTGGCGGCCATTAAATAAAATAAATTAAAATTTATCATACCAATGTTTTATATCTATTTTTTTTTTCCAATTAACCTGTTTAGGCTTACATGTTTTGAAAGGATAAGCAAATATATGTCTCGAAAAATTTTCCGATGGTAACCTTTGGCTTACCATAAATGCACATTACAAAGTAAAATCCCGAGGCTACGGGCTCGACTCACTCTTATTTACTGGGATATTAGTTGGAACGGAAGCAAATAGCAACTGTGACCACAAGAGTGAAGGGTTATGCACGTAATGGGGCAACGCGTTAACGGCCACGCGACATGTCGGCTGGTTGTTGTTTTTATATTCCCTGAAGTGGAAATTATATTTTTGGCAATTATCTTGTTCAGGTTTAAATGTTTTGAAAAGATAAAACGGATATATAATACTGACGATTTATTGATGGTAACCTATCCCTTACAAAAAAACACATAACAATACAAAGTCCTGAGACCACAGGAATGACTCACTCTCATTTGCTGTTCACACGATTTTGATTGCTCCATCAATGCCACCATCTGTTTCACAGTTGCACCATACATTATGCTGCGACTGTAGCATCCAGGATCAGCACATCGACCTATCTCAGTGTTTCCCATTGAATCGTGAAGGACAATCGTGGATACTGGATCTGGACATAGCATAGTTGAGAGAGCATGAGCCGGAAGGAACAATACAGTCTAAGTCATTTTGCGAGTGACGGAAAGTTTGTTTACTTCACCGACCTGTCTCCATGTCACAGAGCACTTTGATGGGTGCATCGCCGATCAACACTCCGTCAGGATCCACGAAGTATTCTCCTGTCCGTGTCACTCCCAAGTCTGCCAACGTCTGACACGTTCGGGGAGCTAAGATAGAAGAAATAATATATTGCCGTCATCTGCTGGAAAATCAGATTTACTTCTAAGCAAAGGCTTATCGAATGAAGACTTCGCTTTAGAGCTTTCGGTAAAGAAATTGCAGTTCGTAAGATTACAGCTTGTCATATCACTGCTTGGAATATGCGATCGGCTGAAGTGCTACTCTCATCGTTGTCTGAGTTGTTCACTATGCGCGGATATATTAGTTGTTCTAAGGCGATGCTAGCGATCAAATGAGCGTCCTGTTAGGAGCAGCACATGTTAACGATGTTTTTACCAGCAGAAGACCAAATATAAGAGTTAGCGCTAAATGCATTCTCTATTCGGGGAAGTGTTACATGATGACGCGAGTTTGACTCGTGGGCATATACTCGCGAAGCACGAGAGAGTGCATATGACGTTAAGGTCAAGGCGGTGAAGGACAATCTTGATGGAGAACGATGCATGGCGTGGCTTGAAGCGCTTTAATGTGTCTTTCAGGTTTTTGTGCCTCTATAGGACGCGCTTTAGTTGACGCTTTGTCATCCTCACTATAGGAGGCACTCTATTCTAAGTCATCAATGTGTTGTGGAGCCGTCTGCAGTCTTGGAATTTCTTTACTGTACGTTACTCATCGCTAACTGCTCCCAATATCGTAAGAGCTATCTTTGAAGAACAACTGCGCGCAATGTACTAGTAAAATGGTTTATGGTCACAGTTCAATGAAGCAGACATTCCAAGCAGTTATAGGGCATGCTACGGATACAGGAACAACCATTTTTATGCCATTACCTCACCAAAATGTATTATATTTTCATGTTCATCAACTACTATGATCAAAGGTCTTCGTGTAGTCCCCACTCACCTATTTGTAGGCTAATATAGCCTCCAGATATTGGAGTCTTTTTTCCGTGGTGTTCAGTTGAAGTTCAAGTTTGTCTCTTTCCTGGAGATGTTCCTGGAAGCTAGACTTGAGTTGTTCGTGCTCTTTTCTCATGTTCTCGTAGTCGGTACTCAGCTTTCCAGTAGCCTTCCTCATGTTCTCAAAGTCATACTTCATTTTCTTGTAGTCGTCCCTAAGGCGCTCATTTTCAGACTTCATTTGTGAGATTTGTTTCGCTTGTTCCAACATCATTTCTTCCAAGTTGCCGCCTATATGTTCCCGTCCACGGATGGGAGTGCCTTCGAGTGCCTGCGAAATCAAAGAGTGACTAAATATATAATTATCGCAAGATTGGCCTCATGTTAAAACCTATGAGTACTTTTTTTATTTTGAGAAGGAAATTTGCTATCCCCAATCGCCAAGAACCATTTATTCATTGCCGCGAAAACATGGAAAAAACTCTAAAGGTGTTTAAATTAAACAATATATTTTTTCTTGTCCTCATGAAATCAATTCACCTTTAGTGTATTTGGAACATCATAGATGCCCTTCGTCATGAAAATCCACATACTGGAGGCGTATATTCATGGAAATGGTCGTCGGGGAGCTTGACTACGGATGAGGTTAGACTTACATTTCCAGACCCGTACTTGGTTGAAAGGATCAGTACAAATAAGAGACATGGAAATCCCCACATATTGATGCACAGCTTCCTCCAATTGCTTTCAGGCCTGAAAAGAAAAAGGCAGGTATACAGATTCACAATCGCTGCTCCGTGGTGTGTCTAAATTTAAATTTTACCTGAAAAAGTTTACTAATGAAAATTCGAAAATGTCAACGTGCAAGAAGGAAATCTCTAAGCGTCTAATGACGATTTCTCTTCTCTTGGTCGAAGAGTTGCTGTAAAGTTTCTTGGGAAGTAGTAGAAAGTTTTCTTGCATGCATCGTTGTATCTTTTTGCATGACACGCGTTTCGCATATTTCATGGGACTTAAAGTGGCTCGCAAACCTATTCCAATGTTTTTTATTTTTGATGTGGGCTAAAAATGTCATGAGTATACATTCTAACTAAGCGATATTTAGAGTGACGATGACCTTGCTTCTTGGCTTACAATGCACTTTGGTCTTGTCTTGTACGAGTGCACTTGTATATTCGTGGAGTAATTTCACAGAGTTCAAAGGTGTGTGTCATTGGACCATTTTTGGGACTTTTGGTCAGACTAATTGGAATCTGTAAATCGCGAAGCACGCATTCTAGTTTCTCCGAACTTAAAAGAGGAAGCATTTCTGTCTTCTAATTTACAGTCAATTCCATCCTTCTTTCTTCAGTACTCCCTTACATTGCTAGGGCCCAATTTCATATATTGATGTTGATTTTTCAAAACTTAAGGTACGATCTGCAAAACTGCGCTCTTTTCTCACATCCATGCTTCCGACAGTCTTCATCAAAATCAAAGTACGCTCATCAATATTCTAACGCACGTGGTAAGGAATGTCTTTAGATAGTCATTCAGTATTGCACTTTTAGGACCAGAACTCGAAATACGCAAATATTCATATACAGTGGCATATTTTATGGGGGACAAGGGCCGCGCCCTTGGCGCTTCAGGGTCAGAGCCTGACGCTCCCTTGGAGGCAATACTTGTTCCCCCTTACATCACTCGGGTGAGGTTTGGCGCCCCCGCTCTGCCGACCCCCCCCCCCCCCTCCCACCGACTCTTGAGCCAAAATAAGTCACAGTGCATATAGTTTTATGAGTATCCAATATAAAGTTTAATCATGAAGAAAACGGAAAGTTCCAGTGGATCATTCTACGAATGGACAGACTCATAAATGGTAAGGCGAATTGTTCGGCTGAAGCAAGGGTAAATCAAGAATCCAATATGCATGTCAACTTTCATAGCCGTCAAATGACCATGGATTATGTGGCTTACCTGGTTGCTTTTCTACAAATCCCCTTATAAATAAAACCATTAGAACCGTGCGGCCAATCAGCACATACTATGACACCTCTCTCCCATAGGGAGCAACATTGCCTTTTTGTTAAATATATCATCTCATATTCATGGCATTACAGCTTCCAAAGACACGATATTAATAATAATAAATTATTTCATGACTCGTTAAAGTGCGGTTTCAATACTGTGCCGCTGTCGCTGTATTCTACACGCACTTCCAGGGTATGTTGAGCGAAGAAATAGGCTTCGCATCGAAGCCTACTAGAAATACAGGGTTGTCTTTGACATGAGAATTGCAGACCCTTACTGAGAAAAGATAAAAAATTAGGAAAAAGTCCCTTTAGGATGTGCGATTCGTGAAACTAAAAGTATTATATCCACCTCAGAGAGGTGCAATATTCAGGTTCGGTTTCACGTGCAACACCCTCTGTAAGAGTGCTTCAACTCTGGTAGCGGGACAGAGTTCAGGCAGGTATGTGTCACAACTGCATTTTAAAAGGGGTGATATGTATTGCTTATAGCAACTGCATCTGCATAATTGTTGTTGGAAGACATTCTCCATCAAGATTGTCCTTCACCGCCTTGACCTTAACGTCATATGCACTCTCTCGTGCTTCGCGAGTATATGCCCACGAGTCAAACTCGCGTCATCATGTAACACTTCCCCGAATAGAGAATGCAATTTTTAAAGATAGGTAAAAATTCTTAGCTTTCACATGGAGGAAACTTTTTTTCGTCGAGTCACGAAGACTTCTGGAGTCCGGACATGGGTTTCTCTTTTTTTCGAGCTTAATATTTGAAGTATTTGCATGATCCGCTTCAATTTCACCATTGTTACTCCATGTTGGACGTACGAGATCGAGAAAACTATGAGCTTCTCGCAACTATAGGCCAGGCTAGGTTAATGCACGACGCCCTCATATGGGTATCTGCGATTTCTCGACGAATGATGACTTTAAAAACTTAACGTACCCGTGCCAAAACTGTACGTACTGTTTTGAATATTCGATTTTCGCTGAATAAAGTCGAAACAGAACGTCCTACGATCAGTATCTAACGTACCTGAAGTGAAAACCTAAGGCACCTTCGGCAAAACTCTCAGAACGATCCATTACCGTGAATGGGAAGGCGACGAGTCTCGTGAATCGATGACCGTCGGATGTCAACCGTACCTGGTGAAATCGACCAGAACCTCCCCAATGTTAAACAATGGAGCGGACGTTACTTTTTGAGGCAAGGACGTTAAGTTTCACGCGAGTGCCTTAGCTTCGTTTTAAAGGACACCAGCAATGTGTAATATTGGAAAATATGTTTTGGTGAGGGACGTTTGGCACGTGTGCCCCATGACAAATTTAAATATAATAGATGGTGCTACATCTGGCAGATGGTGTGCTCGTGCCAATAGCCTGACGTCGTTTCTCTGCGATATTTGTTGTTCATAAAATATTTTTACAATTTTGCGGATCATTTCCTCTTGCCCTCAACTTCTACTCGGACAACTTATATAATCTAGACTCGGTTGTTGAGCAAATTAGTATACGGCTGGTGTTTCAACTGTGATCAACCAGGATCAACTAGCATAGATTTACTCCTGTGAAAACCATTAAACCGCCCATTCAGATTATTTCGCGTGAGATATATGGACGAAGTGCTGCTTGAGAGCACACAAACCCCCCCCCCCCCCCATCCCATTCTTCCCCTCTCGCCTTCGTTGAACGGGAAATTGCACATTTCTGCTCCATAACAGATCACGGTTTCTGCCGATCGAGCCAATTACTATTTTCCCACACCCTAATAAGGTCAGACTGTTATTTTGAGAACTCACCTGACTTGTGCCGTCATTCGAAAGGGTGCCCATGAGATTTTCGCGATGAACACTCATATCCACGAGCAAAAATGGGTCTCAAGGTCATAACTATTTTGTAACCTATGATGAACAAAAATGACCATAAAATTGCCTCTTTTCTCTCTTTTCAATCCTTTTTAGCTGATTATATTGTAACAAATTAAAGGTAAGTAAGTACTCAAGATTAGGTATTTTGGATTTTTCTGAATAGCAGTCGGCATTATTGCCTGCCAACTACATTGCTGTATCAACGCTCGAGAAGGAGCATTCAGCTCTGACAACTCTGGACGATGAGAGCCTGTGATTGGTTGGAAGGAATTTTGGAGGATAGAGATTGCCGTCATTTGCCATGCATCCATCGTCCGCACTCGTCGAATCGGTCTCGTTAAAATTTTCCGTACGTTAGGTTTCGAAAAAGGTAGGTAAAGATATGAAAATCACACTTCGCGTTTCGCTTTTCGTACGTTAGCAATGGAATCGGATGTTAAGCTTTGTGAAAAGCTAGCAGAGTCTTGAGATTTGTTCAAATAGTTTTGAAAACGGAAGTATAGTTTCGAGAAACGGAGGTTAGCAATTGGGAAAAACTGTAAAACATGAATTTCCTTCACATAAAGGAAACCCTAACATTGACCCTTGAGACACACAAATACCAAATTCCTGTCGCAGACACAATATTATCAGTTATTCAAGGCAAACGCTCGCGATATATACTCATGTCTGAGGCTGGAACGCAGTCTGTGGTCGACGTGATCCCAAGATCATTTTATGAAGATGTATGAAGGCTCAATATACAGAAAGTGTGAATGGACCAGTGGCAACGAGACTGTACGTATTTGGTAAGTTGCATCGTTCATGGAATTATGAAGAGCGAGAAGAGAGAGGGGACGGACGAGACGTACCCAATCCCACGTCGAGATGGCGAGACAGGAGACAAGAAGTCAGGTGCCAGGCACCTCCTGGCACGAGAGGTTCAGGAGGGGGAAGAGGAACGAGTAGGGAATATGTGCTGGAGGAATGTGGAAAGGGGAAGAGTGGACGCGTGAGTGGTGGGGGGGGGGGGAGGGGGGGGGGAACCGCAATCTGGAACAGCCGACCGGCGCGGCGTGAATTTTCCTACCAATTCTGTTTAAAATATTTTTTTTTCCTAATGACTCCAATGGAATTTCACCAAATTGGTGTCAATCAAATTCTTATGCATTTCCCTACTTCTCATAGTAAGTCATATGGGATTCCACATGCCCAGAGAAGAGAAACAGCACATAATGTAGCTGACATAATGGAAAATGTCAAACTTGGGTTCAGTAAAATCTCGAAGAATCTGAGGGAAATGAACAGATTCGCTTGAATATGGACCTGAAGCTGCTCAAGAGGCTTCTCCACCATTTGATTGGAGGAAATTTTGAATTTCGCTCTCGTCCTCGAGAAATGATCATGGATGCGAAATTGGAGGGATTTGAGGTCTATCTCCGAACTTTCTCGGAAACGGTTAGTGAAATCATCGCGCACTTTGACACGAAGACGAATGGGGACGGCCTCTTAAACCTGGAGCATGCTTTTCCCGATGCAATATTTCTTTGGAGAATACGCGAGGAAAGATGAGAATTCGCGAATCGTGAATTTCTAGGAATATCCGAATGATCATTTCGGAAAATGTGACGTTTCTTCTTCATCTTCCATTAGTTACATAAATGAAAACTAGACATCTAGTAGCAAAATAATTTTTGCGGGCACGAATAACTCACCTATAAGCGGAAATCTCTTCCCTCCTACTCGACACAAACGAGATGATAGCATCACGGGGAATGGATCCACGAATGAAGTCTAGTGATCTCGTGTTCTGGCTTCAATGTTTAGACGATCCTACGACGCAGTCCCCCGACCCTCCGTTCGAGCTTTGCACGACGCATCGAGGTCAAATGGTGTTTATCGACTCGCTCGAGATTCAAGGTTGGGAAGAGGGGGGCCACGAGACGTTCTCGCCCGCATGAAGTTTCCTAATCGAGCGCGCTTCGACACGGTCCTCCACTGGATACGTCGTTTTGTAGCCGTTACTTTTAGTAGTGGGTATGGAAGCCTCCGAATATTCTGCTCATGGGAGAAACTTTCTCAGCATTTAATTGCCATCATTTTTGTCTAGGAAGTAAATTTGCAACACTGTTATCATGGGGAACCAATTCTCTCGCACAGTGAAGAAAAACATGTCCTTGGCTCAATCGGAGCACCAGACCAATAGTTACTGTTTAAAAGACTGCTATTTGAAGTAATTGAACTCTGTGCCAGCCTTCGGAAAAATTCATCAAGTTCGAACCACATTTTAAAGCGGTGGAGTGGCAATCACACCTCATTGGACCCTCTATGTGATGAATATGCACTCAATAGCCCCCAGAGCTGCGTTTCCGGCGGGAATCTCGTCGACCACCGCGATACCGTGCTCACAGTGCGTCTCATTCTCGCGGAATGGAAATGGAGAGTCCATCGGCCCTTGACGATTCATTGTACCTACTGCTCATGTTCTTCTATGATCGCTTTTCGCACAAACCCAGTCAATTAGCTATTGATAGGCGATCTCCCGTCATGGCGCCACCCTCGCAAGGCTCCACCAGCCAATTCAATCACTTGTATGAACATGCTTTTAGTTTCCACACTAGTCCTCGGTTTTGCGGTTTTGCGCCAAATAGCATACGTTCCGTCGCTCTCCTCTGGTACAAAGTAAATATTAGTAGGCAGTATGAGAGGTGTCACATTAGGTGAAATGGATACAATAGAGAGTTGAAGGGACAAATATCACCCTCTCCTTCGGTTAGTATATTCGACCTTCGTACAAAACCAAAATCGACCAACAATGTTTTCATGTAGAGGATTCATTGCAAATATATTCAGGAAGGAAGTGGATTTTGCTTTCCTATCCGACACCGCATTCGGTGAATACGGTCCTTTCTCGAAATTCTATTTCCTCAAGCTTGGAACGAAAAAGTCCAACTTCAAAATACCACGACAGAGGAAGAAAGCAAAGTGCATGCAAGGAATAAAGTTGAGCAAAACCGTCATCCCGTGCTCGCGGTGCAATTCCGAACGTCCCATCGCCGTACCAAGTGGTTGCATGCTGAAGGTATTCCAAATTCTTTGTGGTGGTGAAAATCATCATCCGAAGGGCATTGTGCACATGATCATGACTGAGCCAGTCCACACCCTCCGTTGTACAGCGGTAGCTGCCGTCAACCTGAAGATCTGCGACTGTGGGTGGCAATGCAGGAATTTCTGTTCTCCTCTCCCTTAGAGCAACCTGATTCAAGGCATTCAGGTATCCTCGATCTGCTGCCTTCAACCCAGCTATCTGAAATAGCAAACACAGAAGCTAGCTTGCGTAGGTCTACTTACTAAACAAAGGTGCAGCCCTTCATGGAATGAAAAAAAGTCTTAAAGTGTGATGAAGTCTGAATTGAATTGCTCACCGAATCAGAAGAAGCCGCTGCAACGGAAGCCATAGAGTGCTGAGAAATGGCATTTTTCACATTCCAGGCAACTTCATTTTTCACAATTTTCTCCCTGGATGGACCGTGCCCTGGGTGCTCTATAGAAGGGGACTTCACCATATCTTTTGAGTCCATCAGTGTCACAGCCGTTTGCCGGCAACCGGGCTCCGCGCATTTCCAGTATTTCTTCCCGCGAAGCGTCTAGGAGTAGTTCAAGGTCAAGAACATCAACGTCTCACGTTCACTTAGTAACTTCATAGCCTTGATAACTTAATTTTGCAAGAGACTCTTTGGGCTAATTGAAACTCTTACTTAACGTTTTACATCAGTCTGACTAGTAGCGGACGACGATTTCATGCAAATAAAAGGTTGTCTTACAGCTAGGAGCAAACAGGTGTAGAAATATTGGGGAATAATAAAAAAAATTGTAAACCTAGCGCGCTCAGTCTATAAGGCTGAATGATTCTTCAGTGCCTCACCTTGTTCTTCAGGAAGAGATATCCATGTATCACCAACATATCCTGCCCTCGTTGAGACTTGATTATTTCAGACATAATTCCAATGCAAAATGCACAGCAGGATGCAACCAGACAGTAACCAGGGCACAACTGACTAGACACATGACTCGAGACGGTCCAAAAAAGAAGAGAATAAACCGGTATTTCTTTCGGCCTTGTAAGCCTTCGGCGAAATGAGCCATTCGATATCCAGACACTTCTATGAATGAATCCTTTGATGTATGGTCTCGTTCGCGTAACCGTTTTTCGACCAAATGTTTATTCGTCGATATAAGTTTCGATTATTCGATACCAACCCTACTTCCTATACATCACCTCGTACTTATCTAAGATTCGAACCTGGGTCCTTTATAATCAATCAAACTTGATCTCCCTCCCGACTAGACCACTCAGTCGCCCATTTAATTATTGGCCCCTAGTTCCTATACTGTTGGATATACTACACCCCATTATGCAATACCGGGCTCAAGAAGCAGGTCCACGGGCCACGTGCGGCCCGTGGGTTGCACATCACTCTTCTATAAAATTCTGAGGACTCATCTGAATATAGAAAATTGTAAGGCTTATATTCTTCACAATGGAAGACCCTGATGCGAGGGATCAAATGTACGAAGAAGTAAACAGAAAAAGATGGCTCCAATCGGACTCAGGAACTTCCTGGTTTAACAAGGCATCTTGAGCAAGATTCCCAAAAGCGGCAGTTTGATCATGCATCACAAGGCAACACATTTGAAAATGCAATAGTAGGGCGACTGTGGTAGTCTGAGTCTTTGATACCAGCTCACTTAGCTAGAGAAGCGATGGGGCAGCAGAGGCTCTCGATATAGTTCCGTAATTCTTGCTGCAGACACCATATCCGAACGAAAAAAGAATACATTGATATGAATAGAGTGCACATCGAAGCCAAGGGTTGTCCACTGCGCGGAATATGATTTTCCTTTAGGATAAAATACATGTATTTTTCACATTTAAATATTATCCCTTTCAGACCTGGCGTCCATTCCAATGGACGTTGCATCTTCATTGTGTCTATGGTAATTTCTTGGGATTCTCGTGACTTTGCGCCCTATATTGCACTACAATGGGCGCAATTATGCAAGGGTCAATTCCATCGTAGGAATTAGAAGACATGATCGTTGCTTTCCGATTCCAGCCTATTAACAGTCATCCTTTTTGAAAAGTATTCGAAGAAACAACTTCACCGTTACTTTCGTGAAAAAAAAATTGTCTAGGTTTAAATCCAGTTCACTTTTGAACAATAATGCGTTGCCCAAACTCTATAGATACCTTGTATTATGTTCTAGTGATAAACCATGATTTGGTCATGCAACTCTTCACCGTCTTTCCACTTCTATCCTTTAACCTGTTTGTCCCGTTAACAGTGCTACATGCATTTAAAAGTTAGATGCCTTCAATTAATTTTTGAGAATTCTGTTTTTCCTTGCCACCTAACGGTATACACAGCGGCGTGTTGTTTGCTAGCGAAAATTCTCCAACTCCCTGCGTTTGTACATGTGCATGGGTTAGGAATGAACAAGGGAGAGGAAGCAAAAGTATGATTTGGGATTCACATCCATGGATTCGTCATTCATACCTGGAGGTCGAGAAAAGAGAAAAAGGTAAGGGATGAATAATGGCGAACAACGGGAAAGCAAGGCCGGAGAAGAGAAGAACCGATGGAACCGGTCTAACCGTCCGGTTCAAGCCCAGTGTCAGGTAGCCGGCTGCAGAGACAGAGGAGGCTTGAGAAGTGTCCACGTCCACCCGGAGAGGCTGATGGAGCCCAGGTTTCGCGTCGATGACTCCATGCCCGAGTCCAAACCCGAGCGCCTCGACTCCCGTGCCCTGACAAGTCTTTGGCGCCACACCACTTCCTTGGATTCATTCCCCGTCCTACTCGTTCCCGGTCCCGTGCACGACGTCACCAGCCCGCCCTCTCTCTCCAATTTCCTATATCATCCATTCAACACTGTCATTTTAATTCATGATCATTCATTAATCCATCCAACCAATTTTTGCTCTCCTTTGTGTTTATTTTGGATAAAAAATTACTTGATGATACAGCAAATGCAAGCTGAGTTCAGCTATGTGTACTTCAAAAAGCACCTAGCGCAAATCCCGAGGTCCCTGTTTTCATTTTTACGTGGTATGTAAAGAATATTCTCGGATATTTGCAAAGTGGACATCTATGGGTAAATAGGACGGAAGGAGGGGGGGAGAGAGTGATAGGAATCGGGGTAGGCAGACAGAAAGGGACTTTTGGCCCTCTTCTGAGAACTAGATCCCCCGAGGGGGAAACGAACCGACATCATCCTTCATTCTCGTCATCATCATGATTCGCCTAGGTCAAAGGCCAAGAATCAAACTTCAGGCGAAATAGAAAAGTGAAGAATATGTACGCTGAGATATCCGCGACACGAATATCCCGGAATCGGTTTCTCTCTGACACCTGAGGTACTACAGCAAACAGTTGAGAAGTTAGTTTTACCAGTCGTCCTTTCATCAGTCTGATCAAAATGACGTGCAAATAAGACGATCTCTCGAGACTGGCAGAGTAAGTGAAAAGGTAAGAGTTAGAGAAACCCTGACCTCCTATGATGAGGGAGGACGTCGTGATAGGCGCGGAACACAGGACGTGCGGTACTTGAACCACAGACAGGGGGAAATAGGTACGGTATGGCAGGGGGAAATAGGTATGGTAAGACTGGGGGAAATCCGGAACCGGAATCCAGAGGATGATTGACATAATCCAATGGATTGAGGAGGCTTCTAGCCAATCTGATTTATCTGATAACTTGCATGATCAATCTGACCATACACATTATTAAGTCGTGATGGGAAAATGAGCAGTTTTGGTGCAGGCAATTTCTAATATTCATATTGAGTAGTGGCTGTCATTGCGAAACTAAAAATTTTCTTAAAAGGAAAAGATAGTGGTAGCCCAAAATAACAATGTCTCCATCAATCATAATGTAGAAGAAGAAGCTGCATGAATATGGATTAGGGCAGTGGTCGGCAACCTTTCACTAATCGGTAATTTCATTGGGTTGAACTGACACATCTCGACCCAATGGCAGACCGAGTATGTAATTCATTGTGGCACTGATGGAATAAAAAATAACAAGGATTTAAAAAAGGATAAATAAAATATAAAGAAAAATAATGAATAATTCAATATTAAGTGAATCTCTTTTCTCGGCGTGCTTGACGGGCCGGATGAAATCTCTTCGCGAGCCTTAGGTTGCCGCCCCCTGATATGGAGCAGTATACATTAGTTCTATTATTTCCGTCTTGCATACTCGGCTTGGGATGTAACGGATGCCGTAACGAGAATTTCACATGCAAAGGACAGTGTAGTAAAAGAACCATCATGAGCACCGTCAAAGTGAACGACGGAAGGAAAGGAAAATGGGGCCGAGAGGAGGCAATCAGTGACATGACAAAAGGTATGAGGCAGACAACATAACTAGAGGGGAGGTCACTAACCCTGGGTCAAAGGGAGGGGAGGCCAGCTATCAATACATCCCATGCTCGCCAAATGGCCGTGGTTCCACTCGACAGGACAACAAGAACCTTAAGGCACTGGATCTGGGTATTCCCAGAACAATCATTCCAAAGCTTTACCTAGAACAAGCCTGGCCACATCGAAGCCAAGAAAAATTCAGTGCAGATTATTATTTCACTCTGCGTTTTGTCGCCGAAAATGCCGCAGACCCGGGCAGAAATCGAAGGAACTAAGGATTCGTCCGTGAGCGGTACTAATTCTATGATCTCAACATATTTTTAGCTCTTGGGACCTTTTCGTTTATCCTAGTCCTCGTAAATGTCTTTCTTTCTCTAGCTGTTTGTGCCTTTCTCAAGGCAATGTTCTCCCCCTATTCCTTCCTCTGCCGCAATTGTGATGAATGTTAATTGTCAAAAAAAAAGTGCGCAATCGTTCTCCTCTTACGCCGCGTTCTGGAATTTATATATCATCTTCCCTTCCCATCCCACCTTCCCTTCCGTCCGCATTATTGTTGGTGTTAACTAAATTGATTTAATTAAGGCGGTACGCCCTCCTCTTTTTAACACCCTCCTGCTCCTGTCTTCCAGTCACACGACTCCCCTCTGGTTACTGAGCACTGTTTCCCCTGTTGGCAAGGCACTCTTAGTACAGGTTCTCAGACATCTCTCCTTGGTAGGTATTTCCCAATCCTCATTCCTGCTGTGCTTATATTCGGAAGGCTTCTTGATCCGCTGTCTTCCTACCTTCATTTTTGTCGAGTTAATAAGAGGGAATTTATTAATTTTTTATGTACGTAGCGCTCTAGGTCTTGCATGCTCAAGCTCGCTCCTCCCCCTATCGCGCCTCGTTTTTCTTGAATTCAGGAAAAATCCTACCTTTGGGATATATCATGAAAGAAAATCATATTATCAGTATTCCCTATGGGTTGTACCGGATGTTAGGGATACTGGCACCATCCATCCAGTGGAGTTATATTGTCTAAGAAGGAAAAAAAGATAGTTCTTTTGCTTTGTACATTTATTAAAGTATTGCTCTTGACAGATCAAACAAATGGAGTGAACTTGTCAAAAAGGTGACTCAGGACACTGGTGCATGATTGATAAGACAGAAAAAAAGATTCCATTCAAGTCCTTCTTGGTGCACTCAATACATGTAGATACCATATTTCTGACTGTATTCCAAGTTATAATGCCTCTACCTAGTTGTTGCATCTAGGCCATTCTGCCATTCTTTCACCCCTTTCATGCCACACTGTGGATTTGTGTTTCCATCTATAACTCTGCCTGCCACAGAGAATTTGCAAGTTTCATTAGTAGCAGCCACTTACTTTTGGAAATACAAATTCAGATTAGTCTTATGTCAGTGACACTATGACCCTTGGTGCATCTTTATGGCTAAAATATATTTTCCTGATTAAGTAAGGATCAAAGTATTGCTTTTTTCAGCTTGCATCAACATGACACTTCTTACAGGGGTGCTCCTGCTTCCTCGTCTTATGCTGGATTCAATGAGCAAAAGTATGGTTTTCCCACATGGGATATCTCCCCTTTCATTTTTTATGCCTATACCTCTCCCTATTTCTGCTTCCATCATGGGACA